GTGACTCCACAGCTCCTAGTGATACAAATCTTACTAATTAACCACTAACTGGGAGGAAAAGAGGTACATTGATACCCTTCCCAAGGGTATATGCGCGTAAGTGACTATAACAAACCCAACGAGAATTGGAACCTGGCTTACTGATTCCAAGCCATTATCCATTATACCACCCGCACATCCAAGCTTACAGCACCTGGTATTCCCAAGCAATCACCTATTTAGGTACTGACAAGGTTCGACATTGATTAACTTAGGTGATCGTATGAGGACTAGTAATTCAATGTGATATGACTGTAAGCCAAAAAGAAAAGCAGAAGATATATTAAAATAAAAAATATCTGTATTGCCAGTATAATTCATCAAGGTGGAATGTTTCTTTGGTGAGCAAGGGAAGCAACTTACAAGATGAAAGATTTAATTGTGTATGGGCCTGGCGTTGAAGCTTGTGTCAAGTCAGTTGACCAGGAGGCCAAAGGTGAACTTTGTGGCTGCCTGCCTACTGCTTGAAGTGTTGTTGAATAGGCCCTAAGAAGTTAGGGCAGATACATAACTCAGCATTTTTTGCCATGCTTTATTGGCAGTGTTCGTGATTGGCTCCAAAGATTAGATTTTATTTTACATTTTTGAGGATTCGCTTTGTGAGCTGGATGCAGTGCCTAGAAATCTCCACACATTGAGTGACATTTCTTCATTTTTAATTTTGCTTTCATAGCATTCACATCTGACTGAAAGATTTTGATGTGGAGTAAATCAGAAAGAGGTCTAATGTGAAGCAGTGTATAAAAATGATAATAAAAGTTGTGGGGTCGTTTCTTCTCAAATCAACCAACAGCCACAGGTGACCCACTCAGAAAAATCTGAGAAAATTTGCTGGTGTTCCTTGATCAAATTTATTGATGAATCCCAAATAGTAGATCTGTATCTTTAATAGTTTTAGAATCAGAGCATCTTGAAATTTTGGGCATTTTACTAAATAATGCTTTCAACAAAATTTTGATATTGATAGCTCCAAGGATATTGCAAGTACAGATTTGGAACTTAATGACAATAATTAATGTTTATTGTAGATTTCAAAAATATAAACAGCTTAGGTGTGTCTTATGTACTTTTATTTTTATAAGGGGCTGAAAATGGGCAAAATGTAAAAGAACTGTTGACTTTGAGAGCTTCTTGTTTACAAAGCATGTCAGATACAATGGTTGAATTAGTTTTCTTCTAATTTATGACCTATTGGATTATTTGTATGCAGTAATGACATTGAAGCTATGAATGTCAGAAGTTTATTTAAAGTTTTAAAACTTTATTTAGCAAAACGAAAAAAGAACATCCAGTGAAATTTCAATTTGCTTTGATTTTAAAACTTATCGAATTAAAAAGGTTGTGTATTGGGATGAGTGCAAGGTCATATGCAAACAAAGAAGAACCATAAAAAAACATATATTTCTACCACATACCCTTTATTCTTTTTTTAAAATATAAGCTGTAGTAAAACAAAGTTTTCAATGTTTCTTGAGTATGTCAGTTTTCTTTTTGGTCCAGAAGTTAGGGTAAGTATAAACACCATTATAGTTGTCATACTCAAGTCAGCCTTGCACAGAGGTGGAATGACCAATGGCCATACCATAACTATGCTTAAACCTTCCAACAATACAAACTTTACTTCATCGTTGGAAGGTTTAAGCATGGCTAGGGTATGTCCATTTTCTTTTTCTTGGTCCAAAATTTAGGGTAAGTAAGGTTAAGCATCATTAAAATGGTCAAGCTCATGTCAGTCTTGCTCAGAGTTTAAATGACCAAAGAAAAGTTTATATTTATTTAATCATTGGAGGTCTAAGTATGGTTATAATGGTTGCACTCAAGTCAACCTTGCACTGAGTTTGAACAATCAAAGAAAAGTTTATGTTTACTTCATTGTTGGAGGTCTAAGCATGGATGTAGTGGTCGAGCTCAAGTCAGCATTGTGCTGAGTTGGAACGACCAAAGAAAAGAGTGATTTACATCATAGGAGGAAAGGTGCATTGCAAGGAGAGTTCAATCATCAATGGACTGGAGAAATGAATGTCCTCCAGTGGGGATGTCATTTCTTCCATGCACTGCTACATCTTGGAGAAAAGGGAAGAAAGAGAGTGTGAAAGGAAATTGCCTTTTTATAGACCCAAACAGCACTACCTAACAGCCATCTGGTGAAACCAAGTGGGGTAAAATTTTCAGTTCCTTTATTACTAGCATCATGGGAAAATATGTTTCTTTTTACATTTTTTTTTATTTTTCATTATTATTATTTCATTTATTAATTTTATTTAATTTTACTAAAAACTATTAAAGATACAGATCTAATATTGAGATCAATAAATTTCATCAATGAATACCTGTGAATTTTCCCATATTTTTCTGAGAGGATTGCCTGTGGTCATTGGTTGATCTGAAATGGAATGACCCTGGAATAATTTCAAAGTTTTTATCCTCAGTCATATGGTGTAGTTGGTTTTTTACACATGCTGAGATTGCCAAAATGATGTGGGTGGTTATTCACCATCATAGTAGATAAAAGAAGAGAGATAAAAGTATACTTGACAGGAAATAAAATGTACAGAAATAGCAGGAAAGCATTGTAAATTGTATGTTAATTTCATACAATTTATTTATATTTGTGTGTGTGTGTGTTTATATATATTAATTTATTTTCTAATGTAATTATTATTTTATTTTTTTGATGGATTATTTATGTATTTATTTATTTTAAATAATTGAAGATCTTGAGTTAACCATTTTCTTTTCATTTTTAAAATTTTTTATGGTTATGTATGTTGGTTTGGGAAAAGAGTACTTCCTTTAAGAAAGGAGATATTTGAAAAAATCCAAATAAGAATATTTTATAGCATTCTTAAATAAAAAATTTTGAAAACTTAACAGTATTTTTTTCCTCCACTTTATTTCTGTTTATAAATACATGTTGCAAAATAAAATCCTTACATTTAACTTGATGAAGTCCCTCGGGGAATGAAACGTGTTGGTAAAGAAAAGCTTTCCTTTTGTCTTTATTCATGTATTGAAATGTATTTTATCTTGACTCAATTATCATTTACACAAAAGTATGTTGCAGGACTGACCACTTTTGTTGTAGGGTGTAAACTTTTTTCTGTAAACATTTAATAAGACTCCTGATACATTTGTCCCACAAACAATATTTTGCAGACTCATGTGATTCTGGGTAAAATAAGAAACAAAAACATGGATTTTAAACAAACAATTAATGCATGTGTTAAATTATCTTAAGGATATTATTCAGGTAGCAAAATGTCTGTTCACTCCTGAATTACTCTGACAAAAATTCACCAGGCAACTGAAACTGCTTTTTATCTTGCGAAAACAACTCCCTTGAATTGAGCTACTTGGGCTGAACCCATCTGAACCAGCAGAGGAGATTATAAAAACCATAAGTTTTTATAACCAGGAGAATGTAAGTTCAAGTGCAGGATAACATATATTATCCATAGAACAGAACTTAACAGCATGTGTTAACAGAAAGAAATTAAATTAATGTGTACACAGTTGAAAGGAAAATACTATTAAGAATGTGCTTATTTGTATGTGTGATACACCTTTTTAGAAGAAACCAACATCTGATCAGGCTTGCTTTAGACCACTCAAATGTGACTTATCTCTTAAGATTCCATCTTCTCATTGCATTAAAACATGGGTTGCCTTTGTTAAAAGATAGGTTGCAGAGGCTGCACAATTTTTTATGTACACATGAAACCAGTCTTGTGTTATATCTGGTATGACATCTATAGTATGTACACATTCCTCCTATATTGTAATGTACACACAGTAAGGACTAGTTTGCTAGTATAGTGTGTTCACTACCCACTTGTATTCTTCTACCTTTGTGATCTTGTTTGTGTCATGTTTAGCTAAACTTTGAAAGTAAAAGCAATAAAAGGCCTGTTGCAGTTGGGTTGCGTTATTTTAAATAATGTAGCAAAGTTTTTATTGCACCGGAGATTTTTTTTACTATTTTTCGTCCACTTCAAGACCCAAGTGCTACTCATGGTAGAGGATTACTAAATGAAACTGTTTCTCAGGAATAAAAACAGCAGAACTTTTTGAGTCAGAAACACCAGACACCAAGACAAGCTCACTCGTTTGGGATGACAAAAGGACCCATTAGGAGAATAGGGTGTAACAAATGCTGCTCAGAGATGAGTTGACATCCCTTATTTTTCATTTTCTGTAGAGTTTATAACAAAACTATAGCACTAAGGAAATACTTATAGGGAAATTAGGTGTGATTATGACTGACAAAACATGCATCTAAATAACTGGGTGCTATAGTAAAGCTTTGACTTAGTTAAAGTCAGGATCGCATATACCTAAGCGAGAAGAAAAGAAAGTTGTAGAATGGCAAAAATGGTGGAGTAATGGATAGCAGCTCAGACTGAGGAATTGGAGAGCCAAGTTTGAATTCCATTCGAATCCATTACATTCATACATTACATGCTCTTGGGAAGAGTATGAATACTCTTCTAAAGCAGCAATGAGTAAATAGCAGGACAGACCAGGTTCTATAGCCTTGGATGGTCTACTGCAGGCAGAAATGGCAACCTACTGCGGGAAAAAAATCTGCCTCGTCAGTCATGTATCGAAAGATACATGATCGCCTAAGCGAGTATCACGCATGGTACATAACTGACTGATATAACAACAACAAAAAAACATTAATATTGTTTTATTCTTGTGTCATTTTGTACCTATGCAAAATATAAGGGTTTCGAATGTTTCCATTCAAGTTAGTTAGTTCCCTCTGACTTGGAAGAGTTGAGAACACACAATCTTCTTCAACTCCAATTTGCCTTGTGCCAAACTAGCTCCAATTTAGTAAATACACATGCACATACAAAACCAGTAACTGCTACTATAATTTTAATAAGCAAGTAGAGTTATCTTTCTTGGTGAGTTTAGAGGGCGCAACAATCAACTTTATAGAACCTTCGGCCATCATGGCTTCCTTAGCAAGTGCCAATATTTTTGATGACAAGCCAAAAAGTCGACGACCGAAAGGTAAGTATTGTTTTCTTGCCGCAACTTCGTTTTTCATACATTATGTTCACACTATTTTATTATATGACTATCTACTCTCTCAACTCAGTCCTTGCCTGTCCAGTAGCTAAGCCATATTTTAATTTTTGATTTTTTTCAATTTATATCCTGTTTTTTTTTTATTTTCGTTTTTAGTGACGTAGAAATCTCATCCACTTTTTATTAGAAATAACAAAACAAAACACGATAGCAATGACATCTTTTTTTTTTTTTTTAATATAAATTTTAATGTTTCTTAATTTTATAAATAGCTGTCGATGTATCAAAGTTGATTTCTTGTGTATTTTTTTTTTTTTTTTTTGTTATGAAACAAACCTTTCTTTAGCCACCAGCTTTTCGATTATTTTCGAGCATGAATGATATAAAAAGAAAGAAATATATACTCTTTTTTTGTCTCGTAAATTAAAATTCAATCTGCCGTTACCTTAAAAGATTTTAAAATGTCCAGGTGTTGATAAAAATTACAAAACTTGAACTTGCCCTGGATTATTTAACTTTTTAGCTTTTCTTGTAAACCGAGGGTGTGGCAGTTTTTAAGTTGAAAACAAAAACAATGTAGCTTCTGATTATACACAGAAAAATGGGTGTTGTCTGAGATTTGGCTAAATCTGGTCATTTTTTGCGAACGTCTGTTATTTAAGTATTTTACTTAGAATTATTAAAAATGCGTTTAACTTTAGTTTCCAAGTTTTATCTGTAATTTTCACACGATGAATGGATGAAGATTTGAAGATGAAGAAAGGCATATGTATTCGATTAATTTTGACTTTATCTTCATCAGAAGCGATAAAAAGACAACCATTTATTTTAGAAATAAAAAAAGATTTTAAATTATGAGTTTAAGTCATTTATTTTCATATACAAACCTTTGCCAAGAACTTTTTAAATTATGTTTGTATTTAATTTAATTGTAATGTAAATGTAACTTGTATCACTGTGAATATTTTTTTAAAACTCTCTTCCTAATCAGAGAATTATTTGTTTTATTTATTTCTGTTCGTATGACAAATAATGTCGTACAAAAGGAAAGCGAAAATATGACATTTAAGTTGTTGAATTTTTTAGTTTAAAAAAAATATGATCATTCGTATCTTGCGTTTGTATAAAAAAAACCGTAAAACTGGTTTGTCTTCAACATCATTTTAAAAAAAAAAAACTTTGTAGAGTTTTGTTTTAATCTGAAAGATCGAACAGCATTCGCAAAAATAATAATCTCTATATTGTGAATTTCAATTTTTGGCTGAAGTTGCTTCTTTAACTCAATACCTGGGCGGGCACACCGGATATTGCAAACTTGGGGGGTCAGAGGATCAATATTAAAACAAAAAATAAATAAATAAGAACCAGACGTGATATCTCAACACGTAGACACCGGAACGAGAACAATCTTTCCTCGCAGATTGAATAGAGAGCCTAAAAAAGGGTTCAGTTCGAAATTCCCTGAAGGTTAGCGGGATTGACAGGCACCTGATCAAGACCGGAGAGAGAGAACAACGGCCGAAACGTTCTCATAAAATAAAGATGAGGATAATAGTCCGAATGTAAATAATTAAAATAAAAATGAAGTTTTTAATTCTGAAATGGAAATCATTAAAAATTCAAGTTAAAAAACAAAACAACTTTTTATATCCCCTCATTCATTAAACTGGTTTTCTCTTTGTTTAAGTATTCTTTCATCCATAAAATTCGTGTAAATATGGAGACAAATTCAAAGATGAAATATTGTCTGTAACTCTCAACTGTTGAAATAAAAACTGCCGTAGTGTTCTGTATTTCGCTATTTTCCCAGAATATAAAAAAAAGTTACCTTTTAGTTTTAAATGAAACATCTCAGAAATAATTATTTTTTTCTCATGAATAAAAAAAAAATTGTTATTTAAAATTAAAAGTCTGGTTGTCAGTTACTAATTGTAGTAACAACAAAAAAGAAAAAAAAAAAAAGAATAATTAAAAACAAAAACGTAACTTTTGGTAAAAGTAATTGTTATATTGTGTCTCTCTTGTATCATTTTTAAAAATCAATCATATTGAAGTTTCTGAGAGTAACCAATTTTGTTTCTGGTGTTTGCACCCTACCTTTGTTTTCATCGCAAGAAGTCACCTGTTTTTTTTTGTAGATCTTGAAGGAAAGTAGCCTTAATCAAATGAAACTAAAATAGGTACCTCCCAAAAATTTGCTAAAACTGAATATACCATGATGAAAAAAGGCCCCAAATTGATAAAAACAAAGACTCCATATTGTTTACATTACTGGCTTTGCAAATTCATAACAATTCTATTTGTCCATCAGTTAATGGGGGGGGGGGGAATTCTCTTTTTTTCCTTTGCTCCACATTTCAATTTGTGTTTTCACCTTAATGATTTTAAGGTTTTTTACCCTGCCAACTCTCCAATTCTCATACTGAGTTTTCACACAACCCTTTTAATCCTAATTTCATACTACCAGTCTTACAATAGGCCTGATTAAATCGCCATTTTACACGTTAATCTGGACTCCTTCACATTATATAACCTTCATCAGTTTTTCAATCATTTTAACTTTTCTACACTATTGACTTTAAACCTATGTGCAGTAGTTTTATTACTTCACCAAAATCTTCTTCACTTGAATATTTTTCCCATTCTCATATTCTTCTTTGATATGCCAGGTGACTTCAGAGCGTTAGCAATCATGGATCTCCACAATTTCCTGTTCTTTGTAGCTCTTATTAAATTTTTGTCTTTTTGCTATCCCTCCTAAACCCAGGTCTACCAACAATTTATACAAGCTCATTAGTTAGGTTATATGTCGTTTCCTTTATCCTTCTTGCTTTCTATATAACCTGTGAGTGTCAAATAGACACCTCTTTCCTCATTATATGCTCTAGAAATTTCAATTGTCTCTTTCTGATGTTAAGTACAAATTTCCTTTTTGTTTTCATTTTCTCTAAAACTTTGTTGTTGCTCCCATGTTCAGTCCATGGTATTCTCATCCTCCTTCCATAAAACCACATTTCTGTTACTCCAAGTATCTTGTTCATCTGAGAGGAAATTGTCTAGCATTCCCTGCCAGAAAGAAGGGCTGATATAACAGTTCAGTACTCTTTTCTTTGTTTCTAATGATATTTTCCTGTTTCTTAATTCTTTACTTAGCTTTTGGAAGACATCATTCACTATTCCTATGCTTCTTCAGATTTTGGTGTTTCACTTTCCATCTTCTGTTAAAATGTTTCTGATAAATTTAAATTTTTGTACTTGTTTTATTTTGGTATCTCTAATTTGTTGGGCTGTTCCTTTTGCTAACAACCCTGTGTTCTATCTTCTTGCAATTGATGTTTAGTCCTTTCTTCTTGCCTTCCTTTACTACCTTCTCTAAAAGTTCTTGTTGTTTCCTTTCTGTGTTTGCTGTTAACTGTGTCATCTGCGTATCTTCATTCACGTATATATCTACTTTAATGATGGACCACAAGTTTTCTATTTGATTAATATCTAAAGAGGACAGGGGCCATTCCATTAATTTGATGTCTTTGAAATTTTTCTTTTTTTTGGTTAGGTGGGCAATAGTCAGCTTTACACAATATGAAAGGGAATTGCCTTGCATGAATAGACTTTTTTTCATTCTTAAAGCTTCTAGATTATGACCTGTACAACTGAAAAACCTTTCTTGTTCAAGAAAGTAGACTAATTCTCTGCAGTTATCTTGATACCATCAACTTTGAATAGACTGATAATTTTACGACTTACCATACTTGCCCCGAAGCATTACTTCACTTCTCCACTGTTCTTCTAAGTCATTGATGGGCAAACTACAGCTTGTGGGCCAAATCGGGCATGTGAAAGTATTTCAAAGAAAGTTTTTCATGCATTATTCAATTTTCATCTTATCAGTTTTTTTTGTTTTGTTTTTTTCCAGTTAATGTCCAATGGAAATAAATTGACAAATCTACAATTTATTCAGTCCATAAAAATCTTCATGAAAAATTACTAAATTTATAAAGGCAACTAGGTTATTAGGTCATTTCATACTAGCCAATAGAAATGAGGTCAGTGCATTTACTTTACCCTATGACCCATAAGTTGTGCTTTTCATCATTTCCAATGGATCAGTTATTGGTTACTATTAATTGTTAATGTTAAACATTGTTTCTTGTATGTTCCTTTAAGTATATTTTTTTATATCTGTTGCTCACCATGAAACACTATGTATGGCCCTCTGAAAAAAAAAAGAAGAGGTTTGCCCACAACTGTTCAAAGTTGTGATGGTTGACTACTTCCATGAAAGGTCCAAGGCCTAACCAATTGTGCTCTACATTCTTTACTAAATGTAACTGTTGAGAAATCAATTTTCATGTACTACTTCACATACATTTTTCCCTTATCACATTTACTTAAAGGTGGGTGGATGTGTGGGTGGTGTAATGGATAATTGCTTGGGATGAGAGGTCAAGGAGCAAAGTTTGAATTCTAGCCATGTTTGTTACATTCACTTACACCCAAATACCCTTGGGAAAGATATGAATTTATTTTTTATCTACCCTCCAGCTTTGGGTTTAATTGTAAGACATGTATCTGGAAAAAAATTTTGGCCAAAAAATTGTTAATGCATTATGCACTTGTTAAAATGTGTTTCGGCTATAAATAACCCACAAAGAGTTGATAAAAGAAAACCAATCAATCCATCAATCGTTGCTCAAAGGTGATTGTTAGATTGTTTTCATGCCTTTAGCCAATGTTCTTAACATATATTTAATTTTTTTGTTTTTTTTTTCTCCATAGGAGTAGCTAGATTTGCCTATTATCCAGTTCACACTCCTCCCCAATCCTTTGACTAGGTGTAGAGGTTTATTCTTTGTTTTCGGTTCCTTCTAAAGTATACTTCAACTATATGCTTCTAACGTCTCCACCAAAACTGAAATTTTATTTAACATTTGTTTTTTTTTTGTTTACGTTTGCATCATTGGCTTCAAACATTTTCTTTCTGGTCAATCCATTTTTCTTACTTACCCCTTTTAACTTTTTGTGACTTTCTTAAAATTTATTCTTTCTTATTCTTATCTTGCTGGTATTTTCAATTTCTTTTTTACTTGTTCATTTGATCTTTTTTTTTCCTTTCTCCTTTCAAATTTCCAACCATGTCTATCTCTCAATTGCTTTACAATATCTTATTTCATTTATAAGATGAAGTCTTATGAGCCACATCAATCTTTACATATATCAGTAATTAAAACTAGATCTCAATAACCATCCTATAGATTTATTTACTTCAGTTGCAAAATAAAATCTCATGACCAAGAATTGTAAATAAAATGTCTTTTTATCATATAAAGATGTTAACCAGCTTCATTTGATTAATGAAGAATTATTTGTGGAAAAAATTGAGTTGCCTAATAAAACCTAACATGGGGTAATTTTTAAAAAAAATTATTTTTATATTAAAAGAATCAGGTGTAATAGTTTACCAGAATTTGTTGGTATTCTGGATGCTGATTATCCATTTTCTGAAACTATTGACTAAAGAGGGCACTCTGGTTTTAATCACACACACACTTTGTATGTGGTAATATATTATTAGTATATAATATTGTATATGTATATCTGACAAAAAAATGACACGTCTACTAAAGATTTAACTTGTAACCCTTTCTTAAACTGTTGCATTTTCAAGAGTATTTGAATGAATATTTTTGAGTCTGTAGAGAAGCAGTTCAGTTTTCTGGTAACAATTGCCTCCTGAGTGTCTTAAGTTTCATTTTTTCCCGTTTTCTTTTCTTCTTTCTCCCGTTTTCTTTTCTTCTTTCTCCCGTTTTCTAGACTTAGAATTGATAAATTTCTCTCTAAGTAGGCCAGGTTGGTGGATTTTTTTTGTGCCCAGTCATGCTTAACACAGGGGCCAGCCATGAGGAAATACAGAATAATTCTTTTTATTTTTTGTCTCTCAGTTGGCTGATACTTATATGTGAAAAAGTACATGGTAAAAAAAAAAAAAAAAATCTGTATAAAAAATAAACGAATAAAATTATGAAATCTTTTGTGATTGAAAAATTATAACCAATCAAGATCTGTTAAAATATTAAAAAAATAAGGCAAGTGAATTTGGCACTACAGATCCAATTAATGAAAAACAACAGAAAAACAAGTCCTGACTTGCAAAGGTGAAGTTAATTGGGCTTCAAAGGTTTGTTTATTTTAAGTTAGAAAATCAATTTGATTGTACCTGTTTGTCGATGTTAAGTACATCAATCATCTACAAGTTGCATTCTTTTTTTGGGTTTTGGCTTAAGACTTGTCTTAAATCGGATTTTTATGTATGTTTTCAGCTGTTGCTGTGTAGATATTAAGGCGTGAAAATGTCTCCACTAACAAGAGCTAAGTTGTCACTCACTGTTTTTAATCATTTCACCCCAAGCAAGGCAATAAAGCCACTGAAATTCAAGGGTTTACTGTGTGAGAGAGAATAGGAGAAAAAGAAAACCTTATTAAGGAGAGGTAACAATAAAAGAACAAGAATTACGAAGACAGAAGATAACAATTGACATTGCATTTAAATTTTTGAAAATTGTTGTTTACTGGAAAGCAAGAAGGCGGAAGAGAGTTCCACAAGCAAGTGCAAGAGAAGAAACTGTTAGCATAGAACTTATGGTTATATCTAGTTATTTCAATTCTAAAATGAGACCTTGCCATCAATCTAGTACTTCACTCAAATTCATAGAGTCTAGATACCAAAGAGGAAAGCTTGTCAGAACAATTACCATGAAAATATTTAAAGAAAAAACACAGGGAAACTAAGTTATGGTGGTGAAAAGTGACTGCAGCTGAGATTCCAGGTCAGGACCAATAACATTACAGATTCTTCTTTGGATTTTATGGAGAATCTTTAAATGCATAACAGAAGCACCAGACTATATATGACTGCAATATTCACTGCATAGACGAAGGGTTAGATTTATAAATGTGTAAGGTAGATTCTGGTTAGAAAAATTGTCTTGCACAAGACAGAGAACCAACTTTCCTATCAGCAGACCTAGCAACTGATTCAATATAATCTTTCCACCTCATGTTGGTGGAAAACTTGTATAAGCAAACACTGAAATAAATGAATTATATATGTGTGGTATTGTCTGATGATTGCTTCAGCTGTGAAATTGCCTGTTACTGTACACTATTGATTTTTCTGTCCACACAGTTTATATCTTCCCCTAATAAATACAGCAAATTTTAAACACATAAAACAATGATTTAATATATGTATTGGTCATAGAACCTGGTCTTCTTATTAATGAGATTCTATTGTTAACAGGAGGCAGTACCAGTCAGTAAACATACCTCATGATAACAGAATATCTTGTTTTTGTTTTGTGTGATGGAATTCTTTGGATATTTTTACTTTTAACAATTTAAAAATCAGAATTCTCTCTTATATGAGATTACTCATGCAGAAAATACAGTCAATGCAATTGCAAAATTAATTAATTGCTACCATTGATGGTATCGGTAAACTAGTTTGATATATGTATAGGTTGGCCCAAAAGAGCCATTAAAAAACTGTAAATTTTATATTTATGTACTAAATAAATTAATATTTATGTACTTGACAATATATTTAGAAATTTTATTAGTCTGATTGTGTTAAATGATGTCCTGTAAATTTTCTCTAGTTGCCGTTTCACAAGTGTTCGTTCTTTTCCAATCGCAGCCTGCCTTTTGGGGCCACTATGTATATATATATATATATATATATATATAAATAATATATATATATATAAATAATTTTCACAAGAACCAAATTCTTTCTCTGGTAATACCAGTTTGTCATCAAAACATCATGGTAGAAGCTTTCCAAATTGTTTTATATATTTAAAATTCAAGTGGATTCTCATCCATCTTGATTCATGTATATCAGAGATTTTAGCAATGTTTTAAGCGCATGTTTTTCATTCATGTACTCTGTTTTTTTATTTTTCTTCTTAAAAACTCAAAATAACCCCAGAATAACATTGATTTCCTTTCCATAGACAATGGGTCTGGGCACCCACCTGCATGGAATGATTTTCTTTATTTGTATAGCTTTTGTGTACATAGGTCTCTATACACTTTCAATTTTCAACGTGTATCTATGTATAAGTAATATAAAATTTGCTTATTTTGCAGTACAGCTATTAATACTTTTATACATTAAATCTACATTTGTATAACATTTAGGTGCAACTGGGTTAACCAAAAATTCTCTCCCCCTCCCCCCATTCAGACTTTCTACTTTATCAGTTTGAACTTGGCTTTTTTTACTTGTCCAACTCTTTCATTTGCATTCTTTATACTCTATCTATCTACACACACACTGTACACATGAAAAAATGGTCTTTTATGCAAATTTCTAATCAAATAATGACATGGCAGCAATTTAATGATTATGGTGACCTGCTGAATTTCATGACCTGCATTAATATAGGTGGAAAATGTTGTTTATGGCAGTGCTTGGAAGGAATGTGTGTTTAGTGTAGGCATCTCACCACACCACAGAAGTTCTATCAGTGCTCATGGCTTGTGCAGCACTTTTTAGCTAAGGAAAACATTCCCCCATTTCTTGCCCCTTGCGACTTTTTCCTCAAATCAAATAAAAAAAAAAAAACAACAAATCACTTGAAAGGAACACAATTTCCAGATGTCGAGGCAATTGAAGAGAATGTGATGTGTTAACTACTCCTATAAAGCAGTTCTAGGAATGCTTCCATCAATGGAAACAATACTGGACAAAGCAGAATGTGGTTTCAGAAGGGGGACTACTTTGAAAGAGATTAAATGCCAAATTGGCATGTGTTGTTTTTTTTTGTTTGTTTTTTTGTAGCAATAGTCCTGTCACTTTTTGATCAGGCTGTGTGTGTCATATATATATATATATATATATATAGAGAGAGAGAGAGAGCTGGCCACTTGTATTTGAGGATACCTGTGTTTATTCAACACCCACAGAGCCCACCTGTGGTTTATACTGCAACTATGCTGAACAAACCTTAGTTACAGTTTCTGGGAAAGAGCATGTTATCGAGCATGATCAACAATCTGAACAAGGCCAACACGCTCAAACCCTCGGCCACGATGGCTTGTGACTTTGTGCTGGCACAGCTATCGACTGCACCCAAGGGATCCATCTAGCCAATTTCACTCACAAGGCTTAGGTCAACCCGTGGTATGGTTTTCAGACACTTTCCAAAGGTTCCGCATGCTAGGATTGACCCCTCCAGTCTGATAACATCAGGAAGTCTCCTTCCCAGTAAATCAGCCATGGTGAGATTCAAACCTGCATCTCATTGTCAGAATGCGAACGTTGTAACCACATGGCCATGTGATATATATATATATATATATATATATATATATATATATAATATACACACACACACACACACAGAGGATGAACCAAAAATAGGCGGACAGTAAATGGTAACATTTATTTTGATATTACATGCCAATATAATTAAATTTTGATAAACAAATATTACATATCTAATTAAATTTTATTGTATACAATAATACAATACAAAAGCACTGAAAATTTAATCAATGCAGATGCACAAACTGCTGTCCATCACAATTTACATAGCTTTGAAGTCTACCTTTCACACTTCGACATTTTTGCACAAACATCTTTGTATATTCATTTCTTGAAATGCATCTCAACCTACTATTTACCTACTTTTGGTTCACCCTGTGTGTACACACACACACACACACACAAAAAATATATATATATATATATATATATATATATATATAGGTGGCAGATGTTATTGAAGACATCAGACATTTTGTGTTAATTATTGATAGACTTTTCCAAATTGCAAATAACCCTTCTCAGATAAGGAGAGAATTCTGTCTGAAATTATTCAAATTTAATTTCTGAATAAATATGGACCAAGATTTCGACTTTCTTAAGTCATCATCGAATTGTAGGGTTTCGTAGAATTTCTTTCTTATTTGAGAAGGATTATTTGTAATATGGAAAAGTCGATCAATAAACTTGACACAAAATGTCTGTTGTCTTTAATAATGAGATATATACTCATACAATTAAATTTTATTGGATACAATAATATAATACAAATGCACTGAAAATTTAATCAACGCATGTGCTCAAACAATACAGCTTTGAAATCTCCCTTTCACTCTTTGACAAACATTTTTGCACAAGCATCTTTGTCTATTAATTTCTTGAAATACATCTTTGATGTAATTTTTCAAATCATCAACACTTCGTGGTTTTCGATTATAAATTTAATCGTTGAGTACTCTCCAAAATAAAAAAATCCATTGGAATAAATTCAGTTGAATGTGTGGGCCAATCAATTAAACCTCTTCAGCCAATCCATTTCTAGGGAAATGTTTCAACCCATTTTGTTCTAATGGCTTCAGTATTTTGAAACTTCCTATAATCTTTGAACAGCCATTTTCTTGGATCAGTACTAACACAAATCCCATTTAATCTACTGTCCACCTACTTTTGGTCCACACTATATATATATATATATATATATATATATATATAATTCCCATTTCTTTGTTAATGCAGTAGAAATTATTTTATTCACCATCCAATCTTTTCTTAAATGTATTTAAAGTTTCATCATTAAATCCTAGTGTTTGTGTCCGGAGAGAATAAAAAGAAATGCTACTCTTTTTTTTTTTTTTTTTTTTTTTTTTTTTTTTTTTTTTTTTTTTTTTTTTTTTCTTTTTACAGATACCAAATTAAACAGCAACGCTTGCCGGCATGGCAACCCATCCTAACAGCAGGAACTGTCCTGCCTGCGTTCTTTGCTATTGGGGTCTCATTTATTCCTCTTGGGGTTGTCTTGCTTCTCACCTCTGATCATGTAAGTAAATATACAATATATTTTTTTGTATTTTAGCAGTTAGTACTTCTCACCGGGAAGGACAGAAAAAAAATTATTCAATATTAGGAAAAAGGTTAGACCCTACAGCTTTTTTATTTATACAGTCACTGTTGCTATGTGATCGTATGAATAATAATAAAAATGGAAACAGAAAGCTCATTTGGTACACACTCCCATTTGACCAATTGGTTAGTACTAAGTTAGGGCAGAAGTTTCTCCATTTAATTGAGAAACACTTCCCCAGAAATAATCCTTAGTAAGATTTTTAACAGAAATAAACTAAAATAAGCTATAGCTGTACCAATAATCTTGAAAAAAAATTATTAAAAACCTAATAATAAAATTTTAAATCAATACAAAACCTGAGTAATAATAGCCATTCCAAAGCAGCAAAAGCAGATAATACCAACAAGTGTAATTGTAGAAATTCTAATGAGTTTCCATTACAAGACAGATGTCAAACAGACTTTCTTGTTTACCTAAGCACTTTTTCTACTATAGAAAATCCAACAGTTAAAAAATTTTATATCTGGAGTTCCAAGAATTCTTTTAAAAACTAAGTGGTACCAATATATATTATCTTTCACCAATAATGCATACAGAAATAGGATGTCCCTTTCTAAATATTTTTGGAACTTAAAGAGGTTAAAAACCCCTAAGATAAAATGAAAAATACTAAAAAAAAAAAACTAGAACTTGTAAATCTTTAAATGAACCTTGCTTCTTATGTTTACATGAAAAATTAGAAATTATCAAATTTGCTGGCAAAAATCCCTATTAAACTAAAGGAGTGAATTAACTGTAAATTGTTGACAGTTTATTTTTTACATTAAAATATAGTTAAATTTTAAAAAGTATGTATTACTATTTCTTATAGCCATAATTTATTAGTATGTAATGGTCCACCCTCTACAGGTAATTACCTTATTTTGTTTATTCAGTTTTAATATTGCTATGTATTGCAGTCCCGTTAGTATTATTAATATCTTATATAGCTGTTCCACATTTTTAATTTTATCTACAGGCCCCTTTAAGAAGCTTACTGAATCTAAAATTGTCTACAATTATGATACATTTGTCGCTTACATATTTTCTGCAATTGTCAATGATGGCCTGTCTATGTTCTGATGAATCATTGAATGAAAAAAATAACTCACCCACCTCCACCCTCTGAGCTACTTTTCTATTTAGTGCAGATCTGACATTTAATTGGTTAATCAAGACATACCCACAAGTCCATTTTTAATTCTGACCTTATGTCTCTCCCAACTTTTGGAAATGAGGTAACACTTTTTAAAATTTTCTTAAAAATCATTTTATCACCAGTTACTTACCATTGTCTGAAGAAGTACAGTGATAGTATTGAAACATGAAAGCTTATGTGTAGCAATTTCAACGTGTTTTTATTATAATCTCTTATGTATATTGATGATGACTAAAATAGTTTGGATTTTTCTCATAATTCATCTGTCCAATTTTATATCCTGCCATAAGCTTTTGTTTAGAACTGGTGATCACACCAACTTTTTTTAAAAAAAGAACAAAAAAAAAAAAAAACTAAAAAAAACCTGAATAAAATAAGTTATATATTAGTACTTTCTAGTGGTCATAAATGACAATGAAAATATCAGCTAGTTTTTCACCAGTTTAACTTTACTTTGTTTCAGTATAGGTTGGTATTTATTAAACACAACAGTGAACACTTGCACTTTTAATTTTTTTCTCTTTTTAAAAAAAAAAAAAAAAAAAAATCAAACTTCAAACATTAAATCATATCCAGTGAGAAATCTTAAAATTGAGAGGAGCTGGTTAGCAGTATCTGGGCTCATCATGAGAAATAGTCTTGTACTTCAGGTGTCATATACTATTTTTCTTTAGACTAAAAACAAATGTCAAGCAGTTTGCAGAATATTCAGTATATGCATGTGCAAATAAGCCTGGTGATATTCAAATTCTTGTCTCGTGGTTGGAATTCAAGCATGTACTTCCATAAATAGATAAGAGAATTTCTTGTTTGTTTATATTATTCTGAGGACTATATCAAATACAAATCAAAAGATTGGTAAGATCAATTTCTCTTAATTAAATTAAACCTGTTATAAACTAACCAGTAATACCTAATCCACTATATTAAAACTATTGATGTCTGTTTGTGTTACTTACAAAAATAAGAGAACATGATTTATTAAATATATAAAATCCATACGCGTTTCTTAAACTACTTTATTTGATGACATATAAGACCCTACCTCCAGTTTTTTTTTTTTTTTTGGTCTGGAGTAATGATTAGCAAGGCTAGTCTGGTTGACCATTAAAACTGAGTAGTGAGTTCAATCCTCACTAGGTGTCTGTTGCGGCCTTGTTAGGGCCAGAAATAAAGACACAAAGAGAGGAATCGAGTTTAACAAATATATTAACAGAAACAGTAATACAAACATATACAAACGAGAGTGTTACAGCTAGAATGTTCGGTCCGACTGTCAGAACTGACTGCTGGAAACTTCCCTCTCCAAAAGGCAGTACCTGCTCCTATTTATAGCTTGGAGGGTCCATGTGTGCGTGGGTAAATTACCATAACAGCGTCCCAGACAAAGTTAATCTGAATAATCCAACAAGGATTAAAATGGTGTTTGTGTCACTTGCATATATTTTCATTGGTGCTGGTGTTTGATCCAAAGTAAAAAAACTGAACTTTTGAATGTTGATTTCTCAAAACAAGTAGGTCCTCCTCATCTCAAAGATTGACATCACACCATTTTTTTCTCCTAATTCTTCCCCATTTGGCCCTCTCCCTAAGCTGATCTTAGAAAATAACTATACAAAAATATCTCTTACTCAGTTTCGAAATGTTGTTTCAAAACATTTCTTGAGCAACTTAATGCATCAACTACTAATGGAACAATAATGAAGAGGGTGCTGAAAAATTCTTGGGTCTGATCAGTTTCCTAAAATCTAACAAAATGACCACATCAGATTTTTTTTCTTTTCCTTTAGCACCTCCACATCAGCAATATGTCTAACAAATGTTACATTTGACTTTTCAAAATAGTTTCAAATTTATTTTTGATTGATTTATCTGTTTATCATGTTCTGTTTGTGCTTGTTTTACTGGGACAAAATGATGCATAAGTGTTTGTAAAGAAGTTTCTTGATTATTTTTGCATTTCAGGTCAAAGAAGCGACAGCTGATTACACAAATTGTAGAAATGAAAACAATCAAACATGTCTAGATGTCATTGCACAAGACACCATGGCTAGTTGCACTTGTAAAATTGCTATAAACCTTACAGAATCTTTCAAGGTAATAATTTTTTTGTTTTTTTAATTCCATTTCACTTTTACTTATTTCTTTAAAGGTTATTCTCATAACATCAGGTTTGTACTGAAGTCTCTCACCTTCTCCTACCTGAGAGTCTGATCCATAATTGTAGACTGTAATTTCTGAAAGTGAAGATTTAACTGAACTATTTTGGAAAGTTTCCAAGCTTTCGTTTAAAATTACGAAAATAGGAACTTTAAGCAAAATGATCCCAATATATACAGAAAAAGAAGGCATCAGTTTAAACATGCCAGGTGCACATACACACACGTGCAAAAACAAACAAAAACACACACACACACACACACACACACATATATATAATAAATTGATTTATTTAAAATGTTTTTTTTTGCTACACAGTTCTAACCATGTTTCAAAAATGGAAGCTAAAAGCTATGAATTTAATTTTGTAATTAAATTAAAGACATTAGTTTCATTTCATCCTCAAGCAAATTTTGGAGTAACTTTTAAAATTACTGGGTTTTAAAGACACAGCTAAAATCATAATTCACGTTTCCAAGGTTACAGATAAATCTACTTCAACTGGACAAGGGGTGTCTGGGTGTTCGTTATGTCTGTATTATTGCATCCATTATTAGTTACGTTTTGGTAGTGGGTAGGGATGTATTTTTCAATGAAATCTGACATCCGTTGAATGCATGTCGTCAGGATTTTTTTTTAAATTTATTGTTAATGTCAAAAATTCTTACGGCATTTTTTTCTATTTGTATATTTAAAGATTTTTGGGGGTGTTTAGGTTAGAATACGTTTTATTTAATTACGATTTGAAATATTTTCATTTTTAATTTTTGATTTTTATTATACTATATTTTTTAAGAACAATTAAATGTATTGAATCCCTTATAGTATGTAGAATTATTTTTACATCAAGTATGTATATTAGGTTACAAAATTTTTTTTATTTTTTTTTTTTGTATTTAAATATTATTTAAGTAAAATTTATGACAATGACGGTAAAAATAGTTACTTAATTTCACTGATTTAGTAAACTTTTATTTTTTATATAAACCTAGTAATATATTGTTTCTCATGTAAGTACAAAGGATATGGGTCATTCAAAAGCTTACATCTTCTGGCATTTCATATTTATTAATTTTATTTTACTGTAGGTGTTTTATTGGATTCTTTTAAGTGCGTGCAGTACTAAGTAAAAGAAGTTTAGGTTAGAATTTATTTCATTTAATTACAGTTTTAATTACAACTTTAAAATATTTTCATTGTTAGTTTTAATAGACTATATTACTTTATAATAGAAGGAAATGTATTAGAATTACTTATAGTAAGTAAAATTATTTTCCATATCTTTCTTTTTATTTATATATATATATATATATATATATATATATATATATAAATAAATAATGAATCAAGGAAATTTTAAGAATCCATCTTGATTATAATTTATTTCATGAATATATTTAAATATTCGTCTCTTCAGACTGAAGGTTTCTGGAAATTAATCCGTCCAGGAAAAATAAAAATTTCAAAATAACATTTTAAAAAAAAAATATTTAGGGGAAGAAAGGGAGAGAGAGTGTATAAGGAAGCAACAAAAGGATGACCTAGAAACAAATTTTTCCTTAAAGGGCTGAACAAGTTAACATACTGTGTAAGGGAGGGGTGATCAGAAGTAAAAAAGTTACAGTCATGTCTAATAGTCATGTCATTTCAATTCCAAGGAGAACATTAATCCAAAGAGAGCTCAATGTAAGTAACAGAGCAATATAATAATAAGTCAAGGAAATCCTTGATTGGTATTTTTTATTATATATATATATATATATATAACAATTTTGAGGGAAAGATATCTGACAAAGGGGAAAAGGTTTTTGTGACACGTTTCGTCCTTTAGGACTTCATCAGACTAAGTTTGTTTGGTGCAACTATACATTCGCACGAATGAGGGACACTTGGAATTTTATTTTTTTTTTTTTTTATGTGTTTTGGGTATATAATCTGGCCAATTTAATTGAGATTCTTTTTGTTTTTGTTTCCATCACCTTTGTTATTAAATATCCCACATTGTGATAACAGAAGATCTGTTCCCAGTGGTGAAACCTAAGAAACTGGATACAAAGAGCATTTTCTAAACATTTTTGCCTTAGTGAATTATTTTCTCTTAACTAGAGTAGCATTTTTTTATATCAAATTTGTGGTCCATCTCATTACGGTGAGCAGCTAATGTATTTAATGTATTGTTTTTTAAAATGTCTCTTTTGTGTTCATATAATCTTGTATTTAAATTTCTTGAGGTTTCTCCAATATATTCTTTCTGACAATCTTTGCAGGTGATGGGGTAAACTCTGTAACATTTTAGCTTATTGTTTTGTTTAGTATTATTATTGTCTTTTATTGTTTTAGATGTAGTCATGACAAATTTTATGTTGAATTTAGGTAGATTCTTTTCAATTGTAGTTGTGATAGTAGGTAGAACAATATACTTTTTTTGATTTGTTGGGTCTGTCAGGAGAGACTGCTTCTTTATTTTGGAATATTTTATGAGCCTTTTGTTTTTGAAATAGGATATTGGAGAAGCTTGAAGGTACTTTCAGTATATTTCTTCTCTTCATGTAAATATTGAGGGCTGAAAATTCCAAGTGCTTTTAAGTAGAATCAGTAATAATAGAAATTTATTAGGTCATTTTTATTAGTTGATTTTCAGTGGACACTAAGTTTTAAGCTACTGTTAATGTGGTGTAGCATATCTAGGAAAGGTAAAGTGTTTGTTTCTTCCATTTCGTATGTAAATTTTATTAAATGTTTAGTTTATTTACAAGATCAGGTAAATCAGAATCACATGAATATATTAATAGAGCATCATCAATATATTAGAAGTTTGTTGATTGCTTAGGATAATATTTTGAAATGGACCAGATTCAAGAAATTCTAAGAAAATGCATGCCATCACTCCACTAAGAGGCAATCCCATTAATAATCTGAATTTTTGTTTAAAAAAAATTATTATTAAATTTGAAATAGCATTGATTGGTGATGAGACAGATGATTTTTTTCTTTTTTTTTAATTATATTAGCTGTTGGTAGAGAGAGGTTTGTCTTTGATTGTGTTAGATGCTTTTTTTAAGCATTTTTCAACTGGGATGTTGATCTAAAGGGATTTTATATCTAAACTGGTCATGAGTTTGTCAGTCATATTTGTTTTCCTTAGTTTTTCATCAAGATTGCATGAATTTTTTATATGATTGACTGATTGTTCCAAAGACAGAGGATTAAAATTTTTGCTATGGCTTTCGTAGGTTTGTGGGGAGCACTGTCTATTACTGTTACTGAAATAATGGCATGCATTGGGATGCTTATTTTGTGGGTTTTAGGGGGGCAATAAAGTTTAGCTATTCTAGTGTGATATTTTATTAGTCTATACCATCATTTTTAATTAGTTTCCTAATCGCCTTGGTAAATTTTTGTGTTTCAGTAATTATTTTCTGTTCCCTGCCTTGTCGGGGGGGGGGTGATATAAATTTCCTTATTTTTTGCTAGTGATTTATTAAAATCTCAAAAATTAGCCATGTTCTAGTCTCATTGACAATTTGGTATTTTCATTTCTGTAAAAAAAAAATGCTGGGATAGAATAAGGGAATTTAGTTTTTGTACTTTAATATTTCTAATGGGGAAAAGCTCTTGTGTACTGAATGCTTTACTTGGATCATAGTTAGGTATGAGTCATTAATAGATCTGAGAGTAGTACCCTATTTGGAGATGTGTGACAGAAAAATGTATTATAATTAGAATATATTAAGAATTATATGGACATCGGTGTACAACTTGAATTTCATTTATTTTTTTTTTGTCATTTTAAATGTTGACGTTTGTTTTGTTTTTCTCTAGCAACCAGTGTATCTCTATTATGGCCTGACAAATTTTTACCAGAATCACCGTCGTTATGTGCGATCCCGTGATGACAAACAGCTGAAAGGTGATGAGTTTGCTCCAGACAAACTAGCTAAAGAATGTGAACCTTTCCGCTGGACAAACACTAGTGGTCAGGTCGGTTATGCTCCATGTGGTGCTATTGCTAATAGCTTGTTTAATGGTGAGTTTCACTTTTGACATACTTGGTTTCATAGCCAGATTTCTTTCTATTGGGCCTTCTTGCTTTCTCTTGAAATATAATATATATATAAGCTTAAAAGCTACCTTATCGGTTAGCATTTAAGCTAGCTCCTGTGGAGGATTCTTGATTGGACCTTCATCCCAATAGGTTGGGAGGAGTAGATGTGATAGGCAACAATAAACTACAGAAGAGTTCAAAATTGGTTGCTGCATTCAAGTATTGCATTAATACTTAAGCTTATCTTCTAAAAGTTCAATGCTGATTCTTCTGCTGCCACTTAAAAACAATTTGATGTACATAGGTCCTTACTTTACGTACAAACAATTATTTTTATTTCATGGGTGACTTTCGCTGGATTTCGCAGTTAATTTCAATTATTCCCAAATTTATTTCCAAGTTAAAAAAATTTTATCATACAAAAAATTCATCACAAAAAAAAAATCACTAAAAACAATTGCAGTAATGAAAACTTGGCAATCCAAAATTTCAGGATTGCAGGTCTAGATCCAGCCTGGAATTTTTTAATTTGCTTATGGAGTCAATGATTCCAAAACAGTATGATATGTTGGACTATGGCCTTTAGGAGTAAAGTTGACACACTGACATTTGCAGTTATATATATATATATATATGTGTGTGTGTGTGTATATATTAGCTAAAAAGCCGCCCTACAGAGCAGGATATGCTAGATCCTGCAAAAGACTCTTGGTTGGGCCTTCAGCTTCAATAGTTTGAGAGTCCCTAATTCTTTGCATTGAAAGCTCTTCTGGCTGCCGTTTGATCTGCGTTTTCATTTGCAAAGGACTTCCTCATTGTGGCCTTGGCTCTTTACAATCTGGTCCTCTGTTGCAGGAGATTTATTTTTGGAAGGCATATTGCTGCCGTATAAACTATAGAACTCGAGATTTATTGCTGCATTTAAGTATTGCATGTCGGAAGATACATACTTTCTATGAAATTTCTTGGACATTCATGTGGGTAAATGTTGTTAATACTGTTTATTATAAACAGAGCATTTACTTAAATATTTGTATCTATAAAAATAATGTATAAACAATAAATATATTGGAATAATTATCAGACTTAGTCCATTTCATATATATATATATATATATATATATATATATATATATTGTTAGAAAGATTCTGTACAAAAACTTGTATAGACTAAAATAAGAATTGAGAAAAAAGGTACCTAATGTTTAATATAGTAATATTTATTTATAATATGTGCATTTTTACAGAGAAGAATTAAAATTAAAACTTTGTTACTTACAAATTTACTGCTTCTTTTTTTTTTTTTTATAAAAATAATTTGTTTTAATTTTTTTACTTTAACTGGTTTTGTTTAGCTTTTAAAAAGTTTTTAATTGTTTGTATCTCCACATGTTGATGCTTATGTTGTGAACAAATGAAAAAAATACTAATATTAAATATTAGGTATTTGTTTTTTTTTGTATTTCTAATATTTGTGTGTGTGTGTGTGTATATATATAAATTTGCTATTAAGACTCCAGTGGATTAAAAATTGCAATACAAAATCTAAAAAAAAAAAATCAATATACTTGAAATGCTTTTTGTAATTTGAAAATCAGATGGACAAAAGCTCAAAATTTAATGTTCTTTTCATAAATCTTCCTGCATGTTTTGCAAATGATTTTTTTTTTTCCCCAACCCACCTTCCAACTCTTTGTTCTTTAAATTTTCTCATTGTTACTATTATTTTCACTTTTCAGATTCATATACATTGGAATATAATAACAATAAAAACACTACCCAAGTCCATCTGATTAAAACTGGCATTGCTTGGAAATCTGACAAAATGGTCAAATTCAGCAACCCTTCTGCCTCATGTAAGTCTTTTATTATATCATTTACTCTGTTTAATTCTTGTTGCTTTTTATCACAACGCTTCAACTGCTAAAGTAAGCAGCACAAAATTGGGTAAAAAATAAGCTTTTACAAAACTTGACCTTGTTTCTTCACCATTTTAGCTATTGAAGGTTTTTATAACTGAGTGGGGTACAAATCCAGCATCTATCTTGCCTCCCTTTTTCAATTCTGCTATTTTTTCTTTTACTATCTTGTAACAGTCATGCATTTTCATTGAATTTTGAAATGATGCTTTTTCTCTTTTATTTTATTGCTACTTTTACTGCATGCAATTTAAAATTTATATTTCATTTAAACATTAAAAAAAAAGTTTGGACTGGAATGAAAATCTTATTCTTTGTCTTTTTTTTTTTTTTAATTCCTTTTCAATTGAATGTGGAACTATTTCAATTATTGCCCTTCATATATTTCAGAAACACAAACCAATTATATATATATATATATATATATATATATATATATAGACATTTTTATGTTTACACATTCTTTTTTATAGATACAAATATTTAAGTAAATGCTCTGTTTATAATAAACAGTATTAACAACATTTACTGGCCTGAATGTTCGAGAAATTGTCATAGAAAACATGCGTCCTCCAACAGTAATCAAACCTGTATCCTAAACGGAACCGTCATATAGCCCGATGTGCTTTTACCGGTTTCGCCACAGAGGAGCGTTTCAGTTAGCAAGGTCGATTTTACTGTTTTTAAACTACAATTTTCCATGCTTTTCTCACGTACATTCATATCTGCTCGATGCATATCCAAATGTAAACAAATGATGTCACACATTATGAAATGGACAAAGTCTGACAATTATTTTAAGACATTTTTAAGTTTATACATTCTTTTTTTATAGATATAAATATTTAAGTAAATGCTCTGTTGGAGGACGCATATTTTCTATGACAATTTCTCGGACATTCAGGCCGGTAAATGTTAATATTGTTTATTATAAACAGAGCATTTACTTTAGTTATTTTGAAGCCCCAAAACCTGAACATATTCGTCCAGAAAAATGTAAGAAATGGTGAAATATTTTCTTTCACCAGACTTTGGAAGAAGTCATTTTCTCACCATTTTTCACTCCTAAACTCTGATTGCTTTCTTTTAGCATATTTTGGTTTTATGACCTTTTTTTTATTTATTTCTTTCATCTTTGTACTTTAAAGAGCCAGAGACTTTTTATCCCATTAAGATAAATAATATTATACCTTCAACATTCAAAGCGAAATGTCTTAAGAAATCCTTTTAAGAAACAGTAACACAAACATGAAAAGAAGCAGTTGATAATTTATTGCTGTAGAGATGTTTGATTTCTTTCAATGCCAAAATATCAGAAAATATTATTTATACACCCTGATTTTTGTTTTCTAAATTGGAATGCACATTTTATTTTTCATAGTTCAGAAAAGTCCGTACTATGTACACCCACCATACTGGCAGAAATCGGTGTGGGAGTTGGACGAGATATCTGTGGATGACAATGGTTACCACAATGAAGACCTAATAGTGTGGATGCGGACAGCAGCTTTACCAACTTTCAAGAAGCTTCATAGGCGCATCAACCACACAGGCATCTTTAAGAATTCCCTGCCTGCTGGCCTTTATACTATCACTATTGATTATAGTATCCTTTCTGATTTGCTTTTGTTTTTGTTTTTTTCTGTTTATATTTATTCTTGAAGTCATCATGGATTCAGTGAAAATAAAATAGGGGACAGGTAAAACAATTGGTAGATTCCAAGTTACAATGATGATAGGAAAATTGTCTCAGGTGCCAGAACCAGAGCTTATGGTAATATTAACTGTTTCCTTATAAGGAAGCCTTCAGCATTCATTGACTAAGCAGATTTTTTTTTTTTTTGGTGGTGGTGGTGGAGGGGGTTTAAAAGTTTCACCTCTTCCCCCCTCAAATATGGGTTAATTAGTAAGACTTGTATTACTAAAAACTGGGAACAGGTCAACCCATTTCATTATTCTCTCAGACTTGCTATCCATACTGACGGCCATCAATAACAAAAACATGAACAAGTCACAAATCACCAAACTCCTGACTAGATTTAACTTGATACTCAATAAAACAAAAAAAAAAAAAACCCCCAAAAAACAATCATACAGTGTTGGATCCCTAGGAATAGCAGGACTGATAAGGCAGCCAAAAAATTCCTTTCAATGAAAATATCAAATTCAAAAATCCCCATTACAGACTTGAAAGCCACAATTAACTTTTACATTCTCAACCAATGAGGCAAAAATCATGGAATACACACACAAACAACTATATCAAATAAAACCTATTTCTGACTCTACAACATCACGGTACCAGACATTCAAGAAAAGATGATGTTACACTTACAAGAATCAAAATCAGACATACACAAACTGTCAAGAAGTGCTCGCTCTCACACATTTTTCATTTAACTGCAAAAAAAATTTTAACCTATATGAAAATACTTCTACAATGTACCCAACCTTAGGGCTTTTTTTGAGAGTATTGAAACCAAAGCCATTCTAGAATTCTTAAAAGTAACAAAATTCTACCTCAAAACATAAAAAGGAAACTGAATAAACACCTAGCTACAAAATGCAATTAAAACTGAATTACATCACAACCCTTATATAATAATGACTTAATAAAAGAATTTGTCTGCAAAAGAGACACAAGATAAAAACAAATCTTAAAACGACCCAATTTGGTGTGAAATGACCTGTGGGTTTGGTGTGCTGGTAAAATAATCTATACCTTTATATTGAGCACTTTCACCTTCTCGGGTTCAAAATGACTTTGAGTAAGTGAAGCCTGTGAACTATCCTTTGAATATTGTGGATTGGTACTACAGAATCGCAAAGAACTGTACCAAATATCAGAAATCGCATCACTTGCCAGTACATATAACTTGAAGAGAAAATGATGACATAATCAAAATGTTAACATTCCACACTACTTCAAACAAAAGGTTAGGAAGGAAGACCCCCATCAATATCAGAATGAACAATAACTACTGGACTTGAGAAACCTATTTTCCTGAAAAATTGTTGTAATAGAAAAAAGATTTTATAAATCTTGACCAACTGTAGCACTGGCTGTTCAGTCAATGAATGCCAAATGTTTCCTTATAAAGGAAATGGCTAATATTTTCAATGACAAAGTCTTTTTTCTTTTTCTTTTTTTTTTTTAAATTTAATAAAAATTTAAAATTATATTTGAGGGAAGAGTACTTATTATTGAGGATAGTGTTCTTAAATGTGAAGAGTGTGGACATAGAAATCAACACTGCATAGTGACTGCCACTTTTATACCTTAAAGAATCGTCAGATCATTTGTTAGTACTCTTTGTGTGGGATCATTATATATAATACCTTTTTTTTATTTCCCGTCTCATATTAATTGATACAATTTTTTCAGTATAGGTAAAGTGAAATAGTTTGTTTTGAGACTTCAGTGATATAATTTTTAAGAAAGAAAAAATACCCATCAAAATTAGTTCAAAAGATTTAACTCTTAAATGACGAGTATCATCAATTTATGTTTCATTCAAGATCAGCAGCTGTTAATAATAGATTGAATTTATTTTCACAAAGCTACGGACATCATTTATTCATGTTTCTAGTCTAAATGACAAATTGGCAGCTCTAGGATTCAAGACGTTACGTCATTTCATAGAGTATTTGCCTCTAAATAAAGCTGGAAGGACAAGCCAAAGACCAAAAAAAAAAGGTGACAACTTGGTGCAAAGAATGCACAATGCCATTATACAAGAAATGTTTCAAGGTGGATCATGCTGTTAAAAAAAATAAATATGTTCAGACCCCATTTGAACTTTTGACAGTGCCAATCAAAGCTCTCCAACCCCTGTCCTGACTCATATTTCTTTGAAAGTGACAGTACTCTATATGCATTCTTGTATCATTGTTTAATATTTCTGGTGGGACAATAAGTTAATGTTGTAACATTTTATTGGCCCTAGTGATGTTCTAGTATAGCCTTGCATCAGACTAAGCAAAACTTTGGGAGTCTGTTTTAAAGGAGTAGCCTATTATTATTCTGTCAGACCATTCACTCCTATCTTGGGTTCAATCCTCGCTGAATGCACCCACTTTATCATGATAAACATATGTTGTGTTATTGTCCTGTCTCTTATACTTTTATTATTTTTTTTAATTATTTCTTTATTTCTTTTATTACATTTTTATAATATAAAAGTTAAAATATATTTGTAGTTTTTTTTATTTTAGAATGGATTTTTTATTAACTGATAGTGATAAAAATAGATTTTGTATATGATTAATACAAAAATAAGTATAAAAATTTTTTTACTCCTTTAACATGCACATTTGTGCAACCTTTTCTCTCCCTTCAAGGATTAATTGAGATGCAAAAGTAAAAATATAAACTCTTATTGTCATAATTCATTTAATTTCCTTAATGCAGTTGTAAAGATTACCCTGTACACAGCTTTGATGGAACTAAGAGGATTGTGCTGACAACAATGTCTTGGCTGGGTGGCAAGAATCCTTTCCTTGGCATTGCCTATCTGGTAGTGGGCTGCATCTGTATTCTTTTGGGCATTGTGCTTACCATTATTCACTTCAAGTGTGGCAAGAGGTAAGTAAACCAATGCAGTTGGCAAAGATGGAAACTAGGATTCAAAATTGAAATAAACTCTCAAAGCCACTGTATTGTTCTCAATAGAAATTTATTTTCATTGCATTCAGAGCTGGCTGTTTCTTACAGCCTCTCTTAGAAAGAAACATTGTATTTGCTAACAGTGTAGCAACTTTTTACTACCTACCCAAAAAAAGATAGTGTTTTTTTTTTTTTCTTTTATCCTTGAGCAGGGCAAAAATTCCACTAATACTCAAATGGCTACTGGGAGTGAAAGAGAATGAGATGATGTTAGTGAAAAGAAAGGACAATAAAAGAACAGGATTCAGGAAGACGGAAGATGGTGATTGGCATTGTATTAAAATTTTTGAAGATTGTAGGCTGTAAGAAAGTAAGAAACTGTAACAGTTCGACAGGCAAAAAGAGCAAGAAAAGATATTAGAATAGAACTTATGGTTATATCGAGCTAATTCAACAGTAATATGACAAAACCTAGCTGCCAATCCCATAGTATGCTTGGAACAGTTGCATTAAAATATTTATAGGAGACACAGAGAAGCCACATCATGGCAGTGGTGACATGTCAGTGCACCAGATTAGGATCAATGACATTACAAACTTTCGATTTTGTTAAGCATCTCGAGATATATAGCACCAGACTAGATATAGAAGCAATGTTCAATGCAAGGACAAATGGTAGATTTATTTAAATGTGCAAGATGGATTCTAACAAGAAAAATTGTTTTGTACGACACAGTGAACCAACTTTCCTAGCTGCAGACCTAACAATTGATTCAATATAATAAGAGAAACTGCTGTTATGTGAAAATGAAAACTCTGCAAAGCATGGTTGAATGTATGCAATGAGAAAAGAATTAGCTTGCCTTTGCTTCTTGGGGTCCTTGAAAGTCCTTCAAGGATCTGCTTGTGGCTTACAACTTTTAAATAGCCTGAAGTTAGAGCCAATGTAAGCCCCTTTTTATTTTTTATTTTTAATCATTTCACCCCAAGCCAGGCAATAAGCAAGGGGTTACTGAGTGTTAGAGAATATGAGAAAAACTACTCTTAAGGAGAGAGGGCAATAAAAGAACAAGAATCAAGAAGACTGAAGATAACAATTGACATTGCATTTAAATTATTGAAGATCCAAGTTGACTGAGAAGAAAGAAGCTGGAAGAGAGTTCAACAAGTGAAAAGTGCCATAGAAGAAACTGTTAGTATAGAACTTATGGTTACATCTAGCCATTTCAACTGTAAAATGATAAGACCTTGCCACCAATCTAGTACTGCATTTGAATTCATAAAGTCTAGGTACTATAGCAGAAAGTTCATCAGAACAATTACCATGAAAGTATTTATAGAAAAACACAGGGAAGCTAATGTAATGGCAGAAGGGAAAGTGACTGAAGCAGAGATGGCAGGTCAGGAACAATAATATTGCAGATTCTTTGGATTTTATCAAGAATCTCTAAATATATAGCATGAGTTACATAGTTTGAACACCAGCAACATGGCAAAACGGGAGTGGAGTAGGAGATCAAATACTGCTACGTAAAACTATATCAGTGTAGAAATACAATAAAGGATATTATTATGCTCTTGCTGGCTTGGACTGATCAACTTTGTAATACTAGTTCAATATATCATATACTAAGTGAATCTTAGATGTGGCACAAGGCCAAAAGTATAAGGCATCCAGTGTCGATTGAACTCCCTACTCAATCGTAATTGATCTAATGAGACAAGCCTGCTAACCATTACACCACATTGTCACTTTCCTTTGGGCACTTCAAAGTTGTATTCTCCTCAAAATGCAGAAATTGAACTACCTAGCCTGGTGGGTAGAATAATATTTGTAACAGACCTGAAAAAGTTGAAGGAATAATTGTGTGTGTGTACATACTATTTCCTAAAAAAAAAAAAAATTGGGATGTAATGGTCAACAAGCTGGTTTGTCAGGTCACTACTTGTTGTTAGGGTACATGGATTCCATTAATATGTTCACAAAGCAGTGCATTAATGACATGTTTAGGCTGACTAGCAGACCCCAACACATGCCATATGAACACACCCCCATAGCATTATAGAATCAGCACCTCCCCACACAGTACCTTGTTGACAACTGCAGTCCATGGGTTTTGTGCTATACCTGACCCCCTACCATCTGCCTGAAACAGTTGGAACCATGAATTCTTTGGCCATACCACACATTGCCAGCCCTCCAGAATTCCATTTAGCAATGTTGCAAGTCCAGGTGTTGTCCTTTGTCCAATGAAACCATAACAAACAAAAAATAAGTTTAAAATCTCAATGACTAACATACCTCTGGAATTAGTGTAGCAGTCAAACAAATTTTACATGTTTTTGTAATTATATCAGCCATTGGAATGAGTGGTTAATTTTTTTTTTTTTTTTTAACTTTTTATCTATTATTTTTATTTCTTTTAATAAGTTTATGCCAAACTATTTAAATTTGGCTATATCTTACAGAACTCCATTGCTGTGTGGAGTTAAAATAAATAAATAAAATTAAACAAAGAGCTACTTAACATGTTATATTATATTCAAGAATTCTACCAGTTTAATTTAACTGAAATGACTTTTTTCTATGTATTTGGTTAACCAAAAGGTTTATTTGGTTTATAAGTAAATTTCTACTTAATATCAGAACAAGCTTTTTGGCCAACCCAGTATTAGAATTAAAATATTAGAATAAAAAATTTAAGCAACTTAAGTACTAATTTTTGTTTAAAAAAAAAAGAAAACAAAATAAAAATTAAACATTTCTAATATTGGTCAAAATCCTAAGTTGCTGATTAAAAATATCATCTATTGGTGCTTTGCTATTGTGTATGTGTTTTTTTTTTTTGTTTTTTTTTTTTTTAATACTTAGCAGGTTTAATACTTTTCTTATTTAATATAAATTAAGATGATTGCTAAAATGTCTCACAGATTTTCATTAGAATTCCATAAAACAAATTATAAGTGAACATCATAAATTCTATTATTGTTCATATGACATTGTTTAGTTTTCACTCCTTGAAGCAATCTGACTGTTGGCAATGTATACAACACTTGCCTTCAAGAAATTTTGATAGTGATAAAATTTATACTTAAGGGAAATTTTATTAAAAAGATATATTATTAAATCTGTTGCTTAATAAGGAAAGAAATAATGTATTTTATGCAACATATTTTTCAACAATTTTTTTTTCTAGTCACTTTTATATAAATTGACTTGCTCAGAATTTTTGTTTATATTTCATTTTGTTTTTTTGTTTTTTTGCAGATCGCAAGATATGAGTGTCACAGGCAGAACCAATTATTGAAATGGAATAATTTTTTTACAGTTTTTTTTTTCACTTGAAATTAACAAAAATCCCTTTTCTCTCTCGCTCTCTAAAAGGAAAATCAAAAAAAAAAAATCTCAAAGAACAACATCTCCAAAAATCTCTGTTGCTTTCTCTTCTCAGTTACTTCTATCAAAGCTGAGTTCACCATTCCATTGTTCAAGAAGTCACTAGTCACAAGTGGAGAAGGGTAGAGCAGGAGGGGGAGGAGGAGGGGGGGTGGCCCAGTTTCTGCCATTGTTGCCTGTGCCACTACTGTTTTTGCTCTTTTACTGCATTCAGGTTTGAATTTCTGAGTTGATGTTTAAAAAAAAAAAAAAAAAATCCCTGACCCAAGAAAGGAATCTGTTCTCCAGATCTTTCTTGTGGTTCCAAGATAATTATCCTGGAGTAAAATTCTCACTTACTGTTCTTTTTAAACACAACATTCCAATTGGCAAATTCTTCAACTCCCTTCACGTGTCATGGGTTGAGATTTTTGGTGAAGATGCTTCCTCGCCAATTCTATCCAAGTGAATTATTCAATAGCATATTTCCAAGTTTAGTTCAAATAGAGAAATTAATAACTGTGAAATTTGGAGCCTCATTTGAAGAATCTGGCTGGTGAGGCTTCATTGATCAGAAACTTTTTAAAATGCCACTGACTTTTTAATCTATGACCTTTCCATCTATTACTCAATGTCCTCTTCATAAGATAAATAGGGTTTTGAGAAATACATATGGATCACTGGAAGTTTTAGTACTTTGATACACACTGGTATTGGTCCATCTTCATATGTTAACTTTTCCGTTTGTCTGGTGATCTCCCACAAGTTAGTACAATTAAGATGGAAATGGCATTACCAATTTTCTTGACTGAAAGAATTGACTAATCATTTAAATCCATCCGCATTTTCTCTCCAGTAGAGAAACACTCACTTGAATTAATTGCAACTGGTACCCTCTTCCCAATTCAGCTCCTTGAAATTGTTAAATTGACTGCTTCTCAACTTTGTAAAATCCATGGTACCTACACTGCTCTTCTGAAATATGCTGTGCTGTACAAACTTTCCTATCTTGTTGCTTTTGATAATGGCCTTATTTGTGTCCTGGCCAGGATTGGATAGTGCAGGTGGGATAGCAACAAGTTTTGGAAAGACGGGGGTAAAAGTAGCTAATATTTTATAATTCCCCCACCCCTGCAAGTAGTGAAAGAGTTTTCTGAATGAATTGCTGTGTTAAAAAGAATATTAATTATGGGTGTGAGGGGTATGGGGAGAAAACTTCACTAAATTTTAAGCAAATTGTTTTCCATTCTGTCAGTTTATTGAAAAAAAAAAAATCAATAAAACCTCAATGTTTTGCTTCCAAAAAGGCATCACTTGTTGGGAGGAAAATAATTTTAAAAAAATTTTTTTTTTCCTTATCAAGATACAAAAGTCAGTCAAGAGTTTATTATTGCTTTTATTTTTTTTTTTCCCTTAAAACTTATAAAGTCTCTATTTGGGTTTACTTTTTAAAGTTTTAACATTTCAGTAATTTTTTTTTTTTTTCCATTGTATAAAACTTGAAAATAAAAACACAGGTGAATAATAATTTTAAAAATCTAATAATAAAAATTCAACTGACTCTATTTCAACAAGCTCACTCTCCTGCTTGTCTTCAAGATGGTTTATGATAAGCTGATTATATGATCAAATGTGTTTCTCTTACATGTCTAATTTTTGCATTTCTTACTGAAATATTGTTTTATGTAAAACAAAAAAAAATTCTATCAATTTTCTTTTTCCTTAAAATTCATTTTTGCTGAATTTCTTTTTCTCTGAAAAGGGTATTAATTAATTTCAGCATATCAACATATTTACAATTAGAAAAGGTATGTTACAATTTTAGTCTCATTAACTAGAAAGTTAGTTTTTATCAGACAAGGCATAATTATTAGAAAGGCTCTTAAAGAATGGAACCCAAAATTACCCCATTCAGATGGCCATTTCGTCCTTGGGAAATTACTCCCTAACATTTGTTAAAGAAAAAAAAACAAATGTTTTTACATTGACAAGTCCTAGAGAGTTTTCCTGAGGACAATAGCCATCTGAATGGGGTAATTTTGGGGTTTCATCCTTTGTAATTCTCTTATATGCTCTATAATAAATATATTGAGCTCTCTTTTCTGGATAAGTTTTAATATTTTATATTGATAAAATCTACTTGGATTACTTACCAATGGAGTTTTACCTGTGTAATATATATATATATATACACACACACACATATATATAATTAGTGTGTAGAGAGATACAATTTCTGAAGAGGTTGAGCTTTTTAATATCAGAAAAGACAAAAGGGAAATATTTGAGCTAAATTAATAATTTAAATATTTTTTATGAGAACAGTGAATCACTACCTGTTTTATTTCTAATCTCTAACAGGTAAATCTAGACTTTTTTCTCTTTGAACTCTGATTAAAAATCTGTTAAATTTGTTTACGGTAAGAAAGTCCAAGAATGTAATTAAAATTAATATATATATATATATATATATATATATATATAAATGAAACAAAACCTACTTAAGTAGAAAAAAATTTGAATAATTTCTCTTGACTGATGTTTTGAAGCCAGAATTTTGAAGTTAAAACATGCCTATATTTAGGTTTAAAATTGTTCTTTTTAATATGAAAAAATGCTTTTTGATTTAGATTTTTTTTTTTTCTTTGGCCATTTTGATCCAGTTTTCTATAACCTGTTTTATTTGTTGCTATTAGCAAATATGTTCAAGCCTACTACAGGACATGAATCTATTTCTATAGTCAATTTGATGCCGGGAAGCTATTTTTGACCCCCTTTGGACTGGTTATGCTTTCACAAAGTCTTTCAACCTCTTTGCTTGAGTCACTCTATTGATCTCCTTGTTAAATTCACACAAAACTTCCCATTATGTAAAAAAATTCCTAACCCCCAGATTCTTATACAGGATGTTTCAAAAGTTTGTGTTACATTACAACACTATATATCTTAATAAATTATTGAGGATATCAAAATAACACAATTTATATTTCCTGAATGTTAATATGTCCATGTTTCTATACAGGTTTTTACATGTGTTTGATGTGAGTGCTGTGGGTTACATGACACACATCAAATGATAGTCCAATTTTTGCCACATGCAACCAAGCATAGCATTGTTGATGGTTGCCAAGACTTTGGATATTCACAGCTTCAGATCATTTAAGTCTCTAGGAAGGGGAGGTACATACCCCCAGAGGAAGGAGTCACATAGGTTGAGGTCTGGAGACCTAGGTGGCCATTGCAGGAACACACGATTAGTCTGTCCAGAACATCCAACCCATCTGTTAGGCAGAGTAGTGTTCAGATAGACAGTATCTGAAGTGAGGTGGTGCCCCATCCTGCTGGAAAATGAAGTCTGCAGATTCCTCCTCATGCAATTTTTCCATCAACCAGTTTTGCAGCATGGCGAGGTATGCATCACCATTGACTGTTCCTTCTTCAAAGAAGAATGGTCCATACACACGTTTCTTTGACATGGCACAGAACACATTTACTTTAGAAGGAATCTTGTACATGCTCAAGAGTTACATGACGGTACTTGGTTCCCCATATACATGTATTATGCGTGTTAATTTTGTCACTTACGTGGAATGTCGCTTCATCACTAAAAACGAGCCAGTCATCAAATCTGTCTTCTTCCAACCTCGCTAGCATTTTTGTGCAAAATTCAAGGCAAGAGTTAATTAACAGAAGGTAACTTCACAAGTTACTGTGAATATTTGATGCCTTGGCAACCATCAAATTAATAGAAGGTAACTTGATACTTTTAGTTTTTAAATGGTAGCAATTGAATCATGCTACCATTTGCAGTTCATGATATAAGAGTTCTTAGAATGTGACTTTTGAAACGCCCTGTATTTAGGTGGCATGCATATTCTTCTCTTATTTGTTTTCTATTGGTGATGGATTTCTTTATGTCGGTGTTGTTGAAGCTAATGCAAATATTGTCTTGTGGTGGCAATTACAATCAGCACCTTACGCTCCCCCCTTGATTTTTGGCTGGAATCTGTTCAGACTTTGAAATCTTCAGCATCTTCAAATGCTTTTCACATTGATATCTTTTTTTTTTTTTTGTACAGGGCATGAACTTCAAATAGAGTGCCTGACATTTGACTTGCTACTCATTAATAAATGGTGACTAAAATCATTAATCCTGCCACAAGTAGGCTGCAGCTTTCTTTACAAACTAAAAAAAAAAATCATTTCTATTTTGAAAATCTCCCCGCCTCTTTCCTACGTGATACTAAGGATGTATAATTAATTTTATTTATTTTTTTTTTTTCAAAAAAATGTTATTCCTTACAGACAATTCAGTAGAAATGTTACATGGTCATTTGTAAGGCATTACTATTATGCAGGGGGCTAGCAAGTATAACACTAAAGATGTTTGTAACAATTCACGAAAAACTAAAATGGAGATGGAATGGGGGGGCATGGTCAAGAATTAACTCACTCTGATATTTTTTTTTTTTTCTCTCCTTTTTGGTCATGCAATATTGTCATTTTTTTGCGATTGTAGTTGAATTTCACTACAAATGATTTTTTTTTCTTTAGATGACACTCAAATACACTTTGAATTTCTATCAAAAAAATCATTGCAGTGTTCATTAAATTTTTTTTTTCATTAGTTTTTCTTGCATCTTTTTTTTTTTTTTTTTTTTTCATTTTTTTTCTTTTCCCAAAGATCAAAATTCAGCCCATTTCTTAAATTTCTTCTGTACATATTACATTTTCCTTTATCTTTCAGGATATGGGCTTTAACCAGAAAATGTCTTTTTGGGGTGGGTGGGGGATATATATTCAAGTCTTGGATAAAACTTTTTTTTCTTTTTTTTTTTTTTTTTTTTGTCAAATGTAATTTGTCTGTTTTTATTCTCATGAAATCTTTTTGTATTCATGGGTCATAATTATTTAGTAGATGTAAATAGTTGT